TCTTTTTCTCTTCTTAGCTCTTGGCTAGAGTTATCAAGCTCAAGAAAAGTAAAAAAAAAAAAAATCAGTGATTAAAAAAAGAGAAAGAAATAAATGCCAACATTAAATTAATGCTGAGCATTTTTGCTTGGATGTATAATCCCTTTTCCAAGAAGATCTATTTCACTTCAGAAAGACCGTCTAGGAGAATGAAGAACAATGCTAAGCAAGCCAGTGAATCATTTCTAATACTGTGTAATATTCTATTATAAGAACACAGAAAATGAATAGAGTTCTATTCCTTAAAACTAAGTAACATGATAGCCCATATAATGGAAACATGACTTCCTGAATCATTTTAATATTGATTATCTATTGAGTGCTCCTCTCTCAAAAGGCTGAAGGTGTTTGATCAACATTACTTTAGTAATTCTCACATTTTCCCTTCACGTTGATTGTAGTGTTTAATTTTATAGAAAAAGAAAATGGCGCCCAGAGAAGGTGTTTGAGTGATTTGCCTAGGATCACTCAGCAAGGCAAGGCCAATTCTAGGGTGAGAACTTACGCCTACTCATACAAGATTTCCAACAAACTAAGTGAAACTAGATATGCTGCATCTGTGTTATGTACAAGCAACAAATCCATTTGGGTGCTTTATGGAAGAGGAATTCATTGGTTACTGTTCTCCCCTCAAGGAGTCAGAGGTGAGACGTGCATGCTAAACCAAAGTTCCATCAGGGCGTTCATTGCAGACACAGTGCGGGGGGCGCTTCATGCGTTAATGGCTGGGCCAAGAAGAAGTCATGTTCTTCTGCCTCTCCCAGAAGGAAGTAATGGAGACTATTGTTCTATCTGCTCATTCCAAGAGTTGAAGGAAATTTTTTTCTAAACTGCCCTTTAGTTCCAAAGACTGGCAGAAGCGCACGGAGGACACACCGAGCCTTTGCCATTGGTTCCACTGGGAGGGGAGGGAGTGCAGGGAAGGAGGAAACTGATATCACTCGTTTGCGTGTAGGGAAATGGTGACGAGGGTGCATGGCCCTTACACAAACGCAAGAGCACCCACCACACGTCTGACCCACTCTGTCTGTCTGAAAAGGCTGGAACTGTGCTGAGTTCCAAAGGTTGGAGTCCCTGGCTTCCAAGAACCATCTTCTGGAGGAGAGCCTGGTATTGCCCTGGGGAACTCTTATGCTTCACACTGAATATCTCAGAACCCACAGGAACTCCAGGAGTTATGGAAAGTGACTGTAACCAGATGGCATTATTCCCCAAGTGTCTTCAGCATGTAATCCTATAGGATAGAAAATAGTATTTCTTGTCCATCAGCACAAAAGGAAGTTCCCTTCTTCGTCACACACCACCTCCCTCCCTCCCGTTCATTCGTGATTGCCATTCGGCAGGCGGGAGCAGATACAGACATACCCCTCACCGCGTGTCACTCATTTCTCAAAACAACCCAGGAGGTTGGTTTTATTAGTTCTGCCATGTTACAAAAGGGAACGGAGGCCCAGGGAACTTAAGTGACTCGCCCAATGTCACACAGTTTTGTACGTGGTGAAGCCAGGAGTCAGTCCTAGGCAGCCTGGCTCCAGCGTCCGTGTTTAAATCCACTACCTGTCTTGCATTACCTCGCTCTCGGGTGTTTGATTCCAAACTCTGGGAAAACAGTCATGTTCTTACTGTAATGTCATTTCTTTCAGTATACACAGAATGAAGTGTCAGTGAGTTAACAGACTTTTATTAAGGGTAAGAAGAATTTTCTACATGCAAGGGTCATTTGACGCCTCTTCACAGTGCAAGGACAGCTCCACTGCTGGCATCTAACCACCTCACCGCGCTGGGTGTGGCCAGCTGGGGAGCGGCCCTCTGGGCCCTTCCACCAGTAGATGGCATCTGAAGCCCAGTACAAAGTCAAGGGACCCATTTCTAATTTGGGTGCCATCTAGTTTTCATCTCAGCTGCAGGGCTTGACCTGTCCTGGACACCTGAGGCATAGACTGTGTCGGACGAATTACCTGCCTTCAAAATGGCTGTATTCACCAGAGGGAACCGGCCCAGCCTGCTGTCAACAGAGAGATGTACAATCAACATAAAAGCTTATAGATACAAAGACCCCCAATAATTAATGTTGGTTATAAGTAACTAATGTTTAAGAGTGCTTTAAGGGGCTGAGATGGAGTAGGTTGGGATTCTGCTGGCATTGGAGAGAAGGCGTGGCATTAGTTAAGGACATTTTTTGGAGTAAGTTGCAAAGGTTAATAGAAGTTGCAGCACAGCTGCCATGTGAATGAAGGAGAGCATGGCGTCTGGCGGCACCGCTCAACAAGTGAGCACCAGAGAAAGGAAGCCGTCACCAATATTTCAGCAAGGCCCTTGACCTCCCTGGGTCAAGACCCTCCCCAGTGCTTCCATCTGTCAGCACGGAGGACTAGGTATTGAAATCCAAAGAACATGGTGAAGCACTTTGCATTCTTCAGTAGAAAGTTGTCACCATCATGTATCTTTTGGGTTAAGGAAAACTTATTATTTGGAAGAAATGCCTATGGCATATGGCATCCGGTTTGCTCCAAGCACAAGTAACTTAGATGTCTTGGGAAGGAAACAATCTAAAGAATCGCTATAAAAAAAAAAAAATGGCAGGCGTTCCAAGCCTGGCAAGCAACAAGCTCCTCTTTGGCACTGTACAAACTGCTGGGGCTGTGCCCAAGCCAAGCTGTATGAGCCTGGACCCAGACCTCAAACGACCGCCTGCGCTTTGCTCCCAGGCTGGCGTCTGTCTATCGCAAGTGGAGTCAGATGTTGTCTTGACAATGCGACTGATAGGTTTTTAGTGGAGCTGTGTTTATATCTTGATCTTTCTTATTTGCATGATGTTCTTTTTTATAACTTGAGTCTCTAGAAATCTTTCCCATGGCTGTGCATCATTCCTTATCACCCATAACCAAATATGGCAGCTTTAAATAGTGCTGTCATCTTCCTCAGTTCCACTCGTTGTGATATAATCAGGTTTAGATTTCTGACATTGTGCATGTGATGGGGTTTCAGATTCAGAAAACAACAATGAAAGATTTTTTTGTAGATATTTCTCAACTGAGAGACACAGTGTGAAATAATCATGACGGATAGGGCACATAGAATTCACATATTTTTGTCCAAGAAGTGGCCCAAACCAGCCCTTTCTGCCGTAGCAGGTGTGCAGGCGCGACCAGCTCCCTGGTCGCCTCTGGACTCCGAGCACAGGGTCCGCACAGCCTGTCTTCTGTGTCTGCTGCTGGCACACAGGGCGGCGCTGCAGGCACGTCAGCCCAGTGCAGAAATGAACCCAGTGCAAGCATGATATATCTTTGTTTTTATAACCAGGCACTTGTTCGCCAGTCTTTTGTTTCTTTTCAATTAACAGCTTATATTCAATGTTATTTTGTGTTAGTTCCAGGTGTGCGGCATAGTGATTAGACAACCATTTACTTTGCAAAGTCGCCCCCCAATACTTCAGGCACTCACCTGGCACCAGGCACAGTCATCACAACATCATTGCCTATGTTCCCTGTGCTGTGCTCTGCACCCCTGTGACTGATTGGTAACTGCCGATCTGTAGTTCTCAATCCCCTCACCTTTTTCATGCAACCCTCTCCCCAACGGCAACCATTGATCTGTCCTGTGTATCTATGAGTCTCTTTTTTGTTTGTTTGTTTGTTTGTTTGTTTGTTTTGTTCTTTAGATTCTGCATAGTAAAATCATATGGTATTTGTCTTTCTCAGTCTGACTGAAAAAATGCCGTAATCTTAATATTGACAGTAGGTTGTGCCATGACTGAAATTGAACTTGAAAGTTTACTTCTTCATAGAACCCCTGAGGTTAATACTGATTTTCTGTCCTATCTATGAACTTCCTAGGTTTCTGGAATCATAAGGGAACCCTCAGTGCAGTGGTTTCATAGCAAACGAGAGCCTCAGGCCTTGCCCAAGGTCCAGGTGGGGGTGGGAACAAAGAAGAGCAGGCCCTGCCTAGTCTGAGCGACACCACTCAGCTCCAGCCAGTGAGAATATAAACCAAGGGCCAGACCACCCATTAAAAACAAAAAAAGGCAGAAGTCTGGATTTTAAAATGAAATCTGCCAATCATCCCATATCAGCAACTAATCAAAATGAATAACCACCACAGGGTAAACCAACAAGTGGCCTGCGGGTGGCGGGTGGCCTGCGGGTGGCAGGCGAGCCGGAGCGGGGTGCGGACCTGCCCGGGGCGCAGCTGAAGACCGGCTGGGCACTGGGTCCCAGCCTTCGCACTCCGTTCTGCTCCCCTGCACTCCCTGGGCCTGGCTCCATCCCATGACTCCCACGACTGGGCTGGTGGCCAACCAGGGTTTCCCACAGCATTATGGTCCCAGCTGAGGGCTCTGGGTCAGAAGACATGCGTTTGAGCCCCAGCCTCTCACTTCCTGGCTGGGTAGTCTGGATGCATCTCTTGACTGCTCTGGGCTTTGCCTTGTTCACGAGAAGATGAAACTGCTGACCTGTGCCTCACAGCACCAGCGTGAGGTTTGTTTCAGAAGATCTCACTGTGTGTGAGGTCACCCTGCCAAGGAAGACCAAGGATGCCTGTTGTATTAGCGTCCTTCTGAGAAAGGTGCGCGTGTCCAGGAGGGCTGCTTGTCCTGCCCCAGCACCGCAGACATCGCACCGCAGAGCGACGTTCGGGCCCATCTCCGCTGCCCCCGGGGACAAGCGGCGGAACTCGAGGGCTGTTCTGCGTGACCAAGGCCACCCTCCCCTGGGGAGCGACATGGCCTGGGCTGCTCTTTTGTTTCATCTGCTGAGATCAGGAGCGGGTAGTCATTTCAAAGCAGCCCCCTCTACACCTGCATCCCCAATGTCACTTAAACCAATCAGCCAGGACCCAAGGCAATGCAATTTGGGGCCAGACCAACACCCACGAGGCCCTCTGTTCTCCCCTGCCTGGCCCAGGAGCCATTCTGACTGAATGTGTGCAGTGAACCTTGTTTTTGTCTCCGTTTCCAGGGACGCAAACCCGGCTACTTCTCCTTCCTGGACCCGTTTTCTCCAGGCGTCTGGCTCTTCATGCTTCTGGCCTACCTGGCTGTCAGTTGCATCCTCTTCCTAGTGGCTCGGTACACTCTTCTCCTGTCCCCTTCCTCGCACTGCCATCTTGTGTCCACCTCCGGGAACTACCTGGGCGGGGTGGGGAGCTGGAGAAGACCTTGGCACGAGCTAGAGGGATGGGAGGGGAGTCAGAACCTGAGCTGCTCTCCGCCCCGCTGTCGACCTGGTGCAACCCTCCCACCCACCCGTGTACGCACACATTCCGGAACGTGCGCGATGCCGACAGGTCAGCTCGTCCAGATTGGCTTTGCACCCGCCTCTTCCCCCTCCCGCTCTCCAGCCTGTAGCCCCTGCGCTAGGAGCCTTGGGAGGAAGCGGTGGGGGCAGAGGGAGGGCAAGAAGATTCCTCTGATTAAACGGATGCGTTTCACTGCTCTGGCGTCAGCCTTCACTAGGGTCTGCCACAAAGTTCTGAATGGTAACAAACAGGAACGGGGCGCCGGGGGCCTAGGTGGCAAGGCCTCCTCTGCGGGGCCTGGCCCTTCCCCAGCCCGGATCTGCCTGTAAAAACTCAGGTGCGTTGTTGAACGGGGCCCTGAGGGTGGCAGGAGGCAGAAAGGCAGGATGGAGGGAGGCATTTGCAAATGGCGTTGAACTGAGACAAATGGTCCAGATCAGGGGTGGGAAGGCTGAGCCCTCCCCTCTCCCCAGAAACCCAAGGCTTCCCCGGGCCTGTGGGGGAGCCGAGGAGCCTCCCATGGCTGAGGCCTCCGTCGGCTGCGCGCAGAGAGGGCTGCTTTTCTCTGAGGCCGAGGGCATTGCAGCGGCCTGGCTTCAGAGAGCGAACAAGCGCTAGCGGCTCGCCAGTCACTCCCTCAGAATCTCGGCTCTCTGTTCAGAGCCCACCCCACCGTCCTGGAGGACCAGCCAGGGCCGTCCCACAGGGCAGAGGACCGTCAGAATGAATGTCCCCAGGCCTGGCGGTGGCCCTGCTCCAGCTGTGTCCTCAGCAGCCCCCTTGGCCTGGGGCCACACTGGCAGGGCCCCAGGATCTAAAGTGTGTGTCCCACCCCTCGGGGTGGGGCGCAGTTTCCCTGCGGGTGCGTCTCTTTGGTGGCCCCGCGGGAGTGTGTGCTTTCTCCAGTTAGAAGACAGGGCCCAAGGAACCACAGGGTGCCTGGGCCCCTCACTCTGGGGCAGCTCCCAGCCCGCCCAGGGGGTACTGTGCCACCCAGTCTCTGCCCCTTTCAGTGGAGACCAAGCCAAGTACAGGAAGTCCTCGGGCCGACTGAGAAGTACCTGACTTACAGCCTGGTGGTCCCAAAGGCCGCAGTGTGTGCGGTCCCGCTGCCCCCCCGCGTGTAGTCATTGCCGCTCTCGAGCACCTGTTGTCAGTGGCAACGAGTGAGTCAAGGGGGAGCCGGCACATGGTCTGAGCCTTCCCCTCCTTTTTTGAAAATGCCCGCTCCTGCTTCCAGAAAGCTGCCCACCTGAAGCAAGGTGTGCTGCTCCTCAGTTCACTCTTGCCCCCTCCCAGGGAGCCCCTCCCTGCTTCTCGCTGCCCACAGCTTTCGCGTGACCTTGGGGTCCTGGAAATGGTCTTCCAGCTTGGCTACGGGGGCACACACACCCACACTCACCTGCTTCCCCGTGCCTGCGAGAGCCTGAAACTTCTCAGCGAGCCCTGGGGGTGGAACAGCCCCTCTTCCCTGACCTCTACACGCGCGCGCGCACACACACACACACACACACACACACACACAGAGCATCCGAGCCCAGGCCGACCTGGCCGCAGGCACTGCTCCGCACTCTGGGCTCCCCAAGCTCCTGGGAGGGCCGAGCCTCACAGCAGGGACAGGAGCGTGGGCAGTCAGAGCCCTGGGACCTCCGCCGCCACCACTCGGACGCGCCCCACTTCTGTCTCCTGTATTTCCCTTCTGGGTGAGATTTTAGAAGGAAAAACATTTGAAAGCCACTGATCTAAGGCAGCCATTCCCAAGCCCGCTGACACCTGAGCCACTCAGGGAGCTTTTAAAAATTTGAATATCCAGGTCTAATCTCAGAATCTCTAGGGCTGGGGCCTGGGAATTTGTATGTTTGAAGCTCACTCCCAATGACCCGTGGGTGTGGGATCCAGCAGGTGGGTGTGAGCCGGCTCCATAGGCGGCAGGGGAGGGAGCACACGGCGGTCAACGGCGGCCGACGGGCCTTGGCGGCAGCACCCCGGGCAGCAGTGGGAAGGTGGGCCCGCGCCTGTGAAACACCAAGGTTAGGCCGAATGACAGGCTGGGAAGGGCAGTGAGGGTGACCCCCTGTGAAAGGCAGCACCCCCTTCGGGGCACACCCCCGTAGGCACCTCTCGCATCAAAGCCTGAGGGCTTTTTCCCACCACCCCACCCTCCACCCCGGAAGGCTGTGCATAGGAGACAGGCTGGGGCTGTTAGCAGAAGGACCGTGCCTGCAGGCGGGAAGAAAGGGTGTTGCGGGATCAGGGTATCACTCAGCAGGGGCTTAGGAGGGACGGTGCGGTGGAGTGCACCCCGTTCTACAGGAGGCAGGGGCCCCAAGCCCCCCTTCCATCCTGTTTGCCCGTTATATTCACCTGGGCTGCCCTACCTGGGGGCAAGATCTAGTCACTGGCCTTTTTGTAAGTTCCCAGGTGAGTCTGAAACACAGACAGGGTTGAGAGCCATGGCCCGAGGGACCTCTGAGGCCAGGGTTTCTCCAAATGGGCCCTTGGGTCAGAGGTATCAATATCATCCACGAGCCTGCAGACTCGCCGGCCTCCGCGGACTTACCGCGTCGCGAGCTTTGGGGGCGGGGCCCGGTGGCCTGTGTTTCCACAGGCCTGGGTGATTCGGCCGCTCGCTGAAGCTGAGAAGCGTGCTCCAGGCGGGCGGTCTGCAAACGGTGGCTCTGTGGGGCCCGAGGGTCCCTCGTGGGGACAGCGGGGACCTGGGCTGTCAGACTGTCCTACTGCCAGCCCCCCGTCAAGGGGCTCCATTTCTTCTGTTTTGGACGTCACAACTTATTTTGAGAAAGTGAAAATGTTTCTATGGTTAAAGGACCAGTTTGAAAATGGCCTGTAGAGTCCAACCTCCTCATTTTTCAGTCGGGAAAACCCTAGTCCAGCGAAAGGAAGTGGCTGGCACAAGGCCACAGGCCTGTGGCAGAGTTCAGACACGAAGCCAGGGAGAACCCCCACCCCCCCAACTCTCCCCAGCAGACTTGGCTTTGCACCTGCCCTCCATGGCACGGGTGGATGTTCTTTCTCTCCCGCAGGTTGACCCCTTACGAGTGGTACAGCCCCCACTCGTGTGCCCGGAGCCAGTGCAACCTCCTGGTGAACCAGTACTCCCTTGGCAACAGCCTCTGGTTTCCAGTCGGGGGCTTCATGCAACAGGGCTCCACCATCGCCCCTCGAGCCTTATCTACTCGCTGTGTCAGCGGCGTCTGGTAAGATCCGGGGCAGAGAAGGGGCAGGGCCCAATGGGCAGGGACACACTGGGTGTCCCCAGAAAAGCCCTGCTCTGGTTGCACACCCCAGCTTCCAGCCAGCAGGAGCCCCAGCTCCCTGTTAGAGATGCTGCAGGCTCTGCCTTGCAAAACAGACTGGCTTGGAGCTACCTTGGGGGCAGTGGGTCTGCGCTGTGTGCCATCTTGTCCCCTCCCCCTTTCTTTGCCTTGGAGGTCTGGATGCAGAGGGGAGCCAAGGCAGGAAAGGAGATGGAGTGAGGAAATAGACTTAAAGGCCCACGGCAAAGCACTTAAAGCAATTATAACGTTCACACCCGGAAATGACCTGAGTCTGAGTGGCTGGGCCCACAACAGCATGTGCAAATGTGAGCCTGGGCCGGGCGTGTCTGCAGGAGGAGCCCAAGCCCAGCGGCTGTATCACGCCCTCCACCAGCTTTCTTTTCCTCTGCACCTGGCCCCTGGGGCTGCCAGGCCCGTGCACCTCAGCAGGGTGGGAAAATACAAATTCTTAGTCCCTCAGAGTGAGACAGGACCTTGGAGAGAGGGCCGACAGCGCGCAGTCCATCCCCCAGTCGACGTGGGCCGGCAGCCGGCCTCTCCCTGCATTCAGCGACAATCTCCTTTCTCCTGGCTTATCCAGGGCAAAAAGAACATGGCCAAGTGACTCAGTGTGTGGTACAGCTCTTTGAAATCTTGAAAGTGCTGTATAAGTGTGTGGACTAAATAATTGCTATGAGACCATTGCAGGAGGAAATGAAATACATATTTCTAAATATATGTAGAAAGGCACGTTTGTGGAGCACAAGTTTCTCATTCTCCCTTCGACCTGGCTGTCCCAGATGACAGGGTTTACGACCGTGGCTCTCTCTTCCTTTCCAGCCTGGGTGAGACTAAGGAAAAGGGAAAGCGGTGTGCCCGCTATCGGGCGCCGTGCTGGGGCCGTGGGGCCCGGACAGTTATCAGAGGGGCTGCCGTGGAGGTGAGAATGCAGCTGGGACAGTGTCCCCTTCCCAGCTGGGGTTTTTGTTTTCCCTGACCAATGATAAATACACTAGGATTTAAAGCATTTGGACAAGGTGTTCGCCCATCACTTCCAGTAGCCAGAAATCACATGCATCAACATAGAGACCCGGGTTTCACATTGCCCGGAAGAAGGAATGATCTCGGCAGGGGGAGTCCCAGAGCGCCCTAAAAATTCAGGCAGTCGGGGCAGGAGCGAAGGAGACAAGCAGAAGTCAGCCGCAGATTTTGATCCCTTTGTCTCCGCGGCTTTTCCCTGCGGAGGGCGCTTGCTCTCGTGCGCACACAGGGCCCCGCTGGCTGCACCCCCCACCTGTCAGCTGCGCCCCACGCTGCCCTGTGGTGCTTTAGAGAGCAGCCCCCGGGGGCTGGGCTCCCGTTCGGAGCACAAGGCGGGCTGCCCCAGCCCCAGCCCCAGCCCCAGCCCGGAGTAGTTCGTCCTCTGTCTTGGAGTCCTAGGTTATTAAATCAGGGCCTGGGTTTGATCAGCTCCCTGGGGGAGTGGGAGGTCAGAAGACAGGGCTATCGAGCCTCCCTTAGCTCCCCCCGCCCCCCAGCAAGTGATAGAAAATGCCACTTCGCTGACAGGAGTGCCAGCTTTACAATGGACAATGCCCCTTTCAGACAAGACCAAGTTTCCGCTGGCCGCTCTGGAGAGCGCGGCCTGACTGGCCCTCTCAGCGGAGGCCGTGGGCTCGCCCTGAGCGGCTCACACCTCTGACCCCTGCGCGTGCCCAGAGGCGTGCACTCCCCCTGCTTCCCGGCTGCAGAGGCGTAGCCCCGCGAGGGGGACGCTCACACCCGGAGCCCCGTGACCCACAGCACTAGCCAATGTTACTGAGCAGCTTCAGAATGGTCGCCTTCACCTGGGGACCCCCTGCCGCCCCCCAGCCTCCTCTGGGGCAGGGTCATGAGAAACAACACCCAAAAGAGTGCAAGAGCTCAGACAGGCAGGGAGAGCAGATTTTGAGTAGAGAGGGAGACCTGGCACTCAAAGATCATAAACAGGGGAGGCGGCCAAAGGATTTTCATCCCATGTTCGATGTGAGGGTCTATCTCTACATTTATGTCTCATTCCTCTAGTAGCTTACAGATCATATTTGATCCCAAAAACCTAAAGAGCAGGCACGTTCATCCCCGTTTATGAGATGTGCAGACAAGTGGCACGTCTCCCCCCGACACATAGGAGTGCACGCCCCAGTTGTTGGGTGCCCCTGCCTGCTTCTGGGAGGCAGCCCGCAGGAGGCCTGGACAGCATGCCAAGGGGACAGCAGGGCTTCCTCCTCTTGTAAATCCACATGGAGGCTGCCAGCTACTGAATCCAGGGGCTGACCGAGCGCCTTAGTTGGCGATGTCTTCATAATGGGTAAAGCCTCATTAATTTGAACTCCACTACTTCAGACTCTGTGATCATCCAAGCTCGGCTGAGCTTACATATATCTTTGAACCCCCACAAACAAATGGATTAGGTACAGATGCATACTGCTTGTCTAAACTACTTAAGTGAACAAATCAGTTTTAAGGGCTTTAGTATGTATGTTGCCTGAATTGCAAAATTACTTTAATTTTAAATAAGTTTGATGTACCCAATAAAACAGCATTCTATTTTAAAATAACATGAGCACTTTAAGAGTGTTTTCTAATTCCAACTTCTGAACAGTTCAAGGATGCCTTTCAAGTCTTAAGGAATTTCTGCTGTTACAATTTACAGAACCGGTTTTAAAACGTGAATTTATCAATGTGTTACTTGGCAAGTTACTTTGCTCCTCTGAGCCTCAGCTTCCTCACCTATAAAAGTGGGATAAGAGTTGTCCCCCTGGGTGGTCAGGAATATGTGAGATGGCGTCTGGGCTCAGGGCAGGAGCTCAGGACGTGGCGATGCTCATTGGAAGGCCAGCTGGGTCACGAAGGCACAGCCCCAGCTCTGGACAGAGCCCCCAGAGCTTCCACCCTTAGCTCTTTCCCTGGCTCATTTTCCAGAGCCTCCCAGACTGTCTCAGGTGCATGGACACAGCCCCCTTGGATCACAACCCCCAAACACCTCCTTTAGGAAATAAGAAAAAAAAGTCCTAGGCAGCCCTCCAAAACACTGTTTGCTGGCAGTGTGTCGCTTCTCTTCCCCTCTACGCTGAGAGCTGCTTTTGAAGGGGACGCCTGGTCTCCCCCACGTTGCAGCAGGACCAGGGGTGGGGACAGGGCCCCCGGGAGCGCCCCGGGACATGAGGACTCCCTGGTCTTCTCCTGCGCAGGTGGGCATTCACGCTGATCATCATCTCCTCCTACACGGCCAACCTGGCCGCATTCCTGACTGTGCAGCGCATGGATGTGCCCATCGAGTCGGCGGACGACCTGGCTGACCAGACGGCCATCGAGTACGGCACGATCCACGGAGGCTCCAGCATGGCCTTCTTCCAAGTAAACCCATTTGCTTGCTCACCACCATCAGGAACTGGGCGGAACAGAGTTGAGATCCGCCCGCGGGAGATACAAACATCTCTCCTCATCCCATGATCTCTTTTGAACATGTAGTTTGGAGATTGATATGAGTTTCGTTTTTCTCCTGCTCCACAAAATACCCCTGGAATGAGGTCCCAAAAGCACTTTGGGTTAATGTCAGCCTGTCCAAAAGTTGTACATGAGCACGTAGTGGTGGGTGATGTGATTTTAGGTACAATTTGGCAGAACTATTTTTTAATGACAATAGTTTCATATTTATTTTAGTGAGTACTTGAAAAAAATATGTGCAGTGAGTTCAATCTGTACTTTTATTTATATGGTTGTATAGGATGAGGTTAATATATATATTTAAATTTTTTTCTAAATTAGTTAAATTTTCTAGGTAGACAAAGCCAGCTTAGAATAATAAGCAAACAACTAAAATTAAGGAACACTAGACTACAATGAACTGGTGTTGCTGATCGCAGACTACATAGGTCTCCGACCAGGACCCTACTGGCTTCTCTGAGGTGCTTGCGCGGCTCAGGAGAAGGCCCCGCCACCCTGGTGTGCTACCTCCCAGGTGCCGTGGCCGATCGCCGCAGCTGGCCGAGCTGGACCGGACAGAGGAGTAGCTGGCACCTGCTTCAGGGCCTCTAGGGAAGCAGATTTCCCTCGCAGTTAATAGGTGTCTAATCAACCAAGTTCATTTCCACATGAAGCAAGTTCAAGGCCTTCATTTTTCTGTTTTCCATGCCAGTCTCAGCACCTGATGACACGAGGCGGAGTGAAGGCATCACGCAAACTCAGGGTGTGGCTAGGCCCCCCTACGGCTCCCAGTCGCGTTGTTGTTTGTGATTAGTTGTCTGACCACGAGTTTAGCGTTGGTGGGCAAGGGCGGGCACAGCTCCAGAAGACAGCGTTTCCTTAGAAGCCCTGAGCGAACCAGAGTTGGCTGCCCCCAGCCTGAAAGACAATGAAGGACACAACCAGAACTTCCATTCTCACGGCTGCCAGAAGGCGGGATCTGGCCATGGACGCCCTCTCCAGGGCAGAGGGGCTGACTCGGTCAGCAGCCCGCTGGCAGCGGGCCAGGGCCCTAGGCCCTCTCCTCTTTGTGACCTTCTGTGAGAGGTCAAGGGCGCGATTCCCTCCTCCTGCCAGCGTGTAATATCAGTTGAGAGAGGATGGAAAAGAAAAAGGTTGTTGAATATAAAGAAGTGACTGAGTAGCAGAAGGGCCAGAATTTTAAGGTTCATTTTGATTCCCTCCGTTTCTAAACTAGCATTTCCTTTTTCTTTTCTGAATCCTGCTTTCCTGTGTTCTTTTCCCAGAACTCCCGCTATCAGACCTACCAGCGCATGTGGAATTACATGTATTCCAAGCAGCCAAGTGTGTTCGTGAAGAGCACGGAGGAGGGAATCGCCAGGGTGTTGAATTCCAACTACGCGTTCCTCCTGGAGTCCACCATGAACGAGTACTACCGGCAGCGGAACTGCAACCTCACTCAGATTGGGGGCCTGCTGGACACCAAGGGCTACGGGATTGGCATGCCAGTCGGTACGCAGCGGGCAGCGGCCTCCTTGGGTAGCTTCGTCCAGGCAGAGTCAGAGTAGCTAGAGCCGCTGAGTGCAGCACTGAATTCCACGGGCCCTGTTTCTAGGGACCAGTGCGACAGTGGCACTAGGTGGGCACTGCCAAGGTTCCCTAAAAAGAGCAAACCCACGTACTTCCACTGATCGGTGACGGGTTCCCAACCCTTGATTACTGAGGGCTAATTGATGAGTGATTGATTCATGAATTACTGAGGGCATGTTGCTGCCCTTGGTGGGTCCTTCGGGCCTTTTGTTCTCCCTCTCCCGCTTCCTGCCTTTTAGCCATTTCTTTCTCTGTTGATAACACCCCTACTAGCCATGGGGAGGAGAAGGGAACGGTGGTAAAACTCAAATGAATTAATTTTTCTGGTGAGAGTTTTACTACCAAGAAGACTGACATGACTGGATGGGGTGGCTTTCAGGCCACCTGTGGCTCTCACTGACGCGCCAGCTCCAAGTTGGCAGGTGCCGGGATAGCGGGGAGCCCTGGCAGTCAGTGCTGACGGTGGACCATCTGGTTTTTCTAAGGGGATAGAAATGTTTTGCTTCCGTAACGTTGTCCCAGCTCTGCTACCTAAAGGATATTTGTGCTAGGGGCCTTCCTCTGCTGACAGTGCCTCTACCAGAATGAGGGGAACCCCTTTAGCCACTTGTCGTGATTGTGGAAGGGATCCAAATTGTTCCCCAGGTGATGTGGGCCTGGACCTTTCCCCACACACCAAGAGCCACACTGCAGAGAGCTGACGCCGTCCACGCTGTCCTTAGATCAGGGCCGGGCGGAAGCAGGGATTCAGGCAACCAGCATAGGGTTACAGTGAGGTCAGGTGAGAAATTGACATAGAGCATGTACACCTCACACACCCCTTCTTCTGACCTTCACCACACTCAGAACTCTGTACAGTATGGGCTTCACATCAATCTGTCCAGTATGAAGGGCATGCGTTCGAAGCCCGGAGGACCTGGGAATGCACCTTGGTTGCTGGCTGTGGGACCTTATTGAGGTTATTTAACTTCTCTGAGTCTCAGTTATTCCCTTTGTCAAATTAGGTGTCTAGTACCTACCATATAGTATTATTGTGAGGGTGAAATCTAATAATCTACTCAGGCGCCTTCCCAGTGTCTGGCGGCAATTTGGGGGAACATCGGTGCCCTCCCCATGTTCCCATAGTTCCTGACGTTATTTGGTAAAAGCAAACAACTTCTTAAAAGCTGATCAGAAACCAAGCCGATGAGCAGAGGTAATACCATGACTCACTTGACCTCTGTGAGCTCTGACGCCAGCAGCCCCGTGAGCTGGAGGCTTCGCTCAGGGCACTCACAGGCCTGCACGCCCTCCACTTCCTGCCGTGTGTTGTTAGTGCCCATTAATATCACAGATTACAGACCCCTTGGAGAAATGCATTGCCTGGCTCTTTGTTTCAAGGTCATGGAGTGATCTACAAAATGAACTTAAGGTGCACCTTGATAATACTCCAGCAACAAACAAATTTAACGTAAATGTTAAAGGCTTCAAAAGTCTTCACAGAACAAACTGATTAAGAACTAACATAAAGCAGACTGAGTCTAGAAATGTCCATCAATAACCAGGGAAACGGAGAGAAATGCGTTTTTTTGGTATCTAACATGATGCTATTTTCACAGTAAGACATTATTTAATCTTCCCACTTGAAAAGTAGATGTGGCTCTTCCCATTCTGGAGGGTGGAACTGAGATTCAGAGCTGTGAGTCACTTGTCCAAGGTCCCAGAGCAAGTAGAGATGTAAAGCTTAAGCCTCAGAACCCTGTCTCCAAATTTAGTGCTTCACTTACCAGACCGTGTTGCCAATGGGTCCTACCAGCAGGAAAGGAGCGGACAGGCAGGCAAGGGGAGTTGCGGGCGGGCCTGGCTTCTCCGATCAGGCTGGGAAGAGCAGTGCACCGTCCACTGATACGACAGAATTTAGTTCCAGCCGAGGTTCTGTTCGGGAAAGACGAGCATGTGTGTCGTTCTTAAGCTGGAGGTAAGGGCATAACTATAGAATAACCAATGTGGTCAGACCCAGGAAAATTAGGAGAAACAGAACAAAGAGTGCAATGGAAAATTAGCCAGGTGATTGTGGAATAATCCTTTCATGGGACTGCTGGTGTGTTCTTGAGGTTTGGCTGAAAATGCCTAGAAAGAGGGTTGAAATGCCTTGCTGGCCTGGACAGTTGTCGCCAAACCTGGAGAGTTCATTAGCCTGCCACCTAACACCTTCTGCTAGTTCAAGTACCTATTCCCTGCAGGTGTGTATTAAGCATCTACTGTTCACAAGGCAGCGCTGATGGGCACCCAGGCCAGTCATGTAGACGCACTTGGTGCTGCGGGCCTGGGGTTTGCATGCCCAGTGAAGTTTTATCTGCAGCAGAGGAGGTTCTACTTGCAGAGTCCTGGGCTGTCAGAGCCCAAAGAGGTCTGGAAGCTGCGCTAGTTCCTTGCCTGTCCAAATGCTGCCCGTGGCCCAGCAGCGGGAGGCACCTTGGAGATTAGTAGAAGTGCAGACACACTGAATCAGAGAGAGGTCAGCAAGGTCTCCAGGTGATTCCTATGTCCATCAGAGTTGGCAAGCACTAAGGTACTTGCTCCAACCTTTTGCCTGAATTTTTCAACATAGCCTTTCCCCGGGCATATCTGTCCGCATCAGGCCTTTGCAGAGCTTGGGTAAGAAAATGGGTGGCTTCGTTGGTCTCCAGTCCCTTGGCAGTTTTTCTAATGATATCAGGCCTCAGACTGTGCTGGGGCATCAAGCTTTCCACTGTTTCATTCAAACCTATTTTTGTGATTAAACCTAAATTCTAGAACTAAAACTCCTTGACCATGTTCCAGGAAAATTAAAAAAGAATTGCACTGAACAGAAGCCTTCTGCGTAGGGTGTGACGTGGGGGGCAGGGGGCGGGGCTTGTGAACAGGGTGTGGATGAGCCAGCGGGTTCTGGGCGGTCGGGAGGCAGCTGTGAGGGTTTAGGGAGCCTGGTCCCCAGGTTCTCCACACAGATGGGGATGAGGAGCTTCCACCACACTCTCAGGTGGCTCTGTCTTACTGGGGGCTGCTCTGGGCAAACAGTTGTCAGGGGTAATGAAGAAGGAGGTATAAATGCCTGAGAAATTAATTGACATAAAGTAGAAAATAGACAACTGCCCAGCTGAGGGTTTGTTGCAGATTTCCCTCCCTGGCCCCCTGGAGGCAGATGGGAAGCTTTGCAACCCGCTACCTGCCTGCCTCTGGTAACTGGAAAATGGTGGCCCGAGGGTGGGGAGCCAGGGTGTCACAACTGCCTGGAGAGCTGCCCCTAGGCCCACGCGGGGGTCTCCGCCAGGGGGCCCACCAGTCGGCATGGAGAGAAGGGGAGTGGAGAGGCCTGAGTGCCCTGCCATGCGTGAAGCCAGAATGCTCTTCCCCACGGAAAGCCCTCAGACTAGCACAGAGCGGGGCGCTGTCCTGGGGACCCCCCCGCCTGCCACTCCCTGCCCCCGCTCCTGGGCAGGCTGGCTGGGCCGTGTCCTGGGAGGTGTCCTGGTGCCTGTAAGAGGGCACTCACGGCCGCATGCTGGGCTCCTGTGCCCCACAGGCTCGGTGTTCCGGGACGAGTTCGACCTGGCCATCCTCCAGTTACAGGAGACCAACCGCCTGGAAATTCTGAAGCGTAAATGGTGGGAAGGGGGTAAGTGCCCCAAGGAGGAAGATCACAGAGCTAAAGGTAAGCGTGCCCAAGGCCTTCCCTCTTACTAGGAGACCCAGCAGAGCTTGTTTCTGTGTGCACACTCCAGCTAATGACTTCTGACCCTGGGGTGGGACCTCAGGCCCGGCTGACACTGGCTGCGGGCCCGGCCTCCCTCCAGGCCCTGGCACACCGTGTGGCCAACGCCCACCTGGCTCACGGGCTCTGGAGACCCCGCTTCCACCACATCTCCTGAGTCCGGCCGCCTCGCACCCCTGGCACCGCCACCTCCCCCTGGCTCTTGCCCCATCACCTCAGAACCACACAGTTGAAACAGCCTGCTCTCCCTCCCCATTTTTGCCCCCTGCGGGGCATTCTCCACCGGCAGCCAGCACAATTCTGTCTAAGGGGCGAGCAAGGTGCGGCGTTAGTCCACATAGGCACTCGGATGGTCCCTCATCACTCAGCGTTGAGGCCGAGCTTTCGGTGGCCCCAGGCCGCTGCCGATCTGTTTCTCCCTCAACATCCCCCCTTTTCCCTCTCTTCTCCCGCCCCCAGGCTGTGCCCCCCTCAGAGTCTGTGCCTTTGTCTCCCCTCCCTGGCCTCCCAAAGTACCCCCGTCAGCGAGAGCGTCCCCCGCCCCAGGGCTCTCCCCGGCACCCGAACTCTGTTTTACATTTCTTCCCAGACTTCATCATTATCTGATATTACATTTTCCATTCATTTATTTGTCTATTCCCACCTCCTCTACCAGAAAGTCACTTTTCAAGGAGGCAGCGTTTATATTTTTCACAGGGCTGTCCATAGGGTCTGGCACATGGACAGTTTATTGAATGAATGAATATTAAATCAGGCTGAATAGAAAACAGACAGTGATTGACATGTGTAGTTAAGGGTCCCTGAACACCCAGGGGAACACATATCCTGGTTTGCCCAGAATAGTCCCAGATTATACCTATTGTAGATCGGTTCATTCTTATTATTGATTTTTAGAGCCCCCTTCATTCTCAAAATGTCCTGGTATGGACAATAAATCATATAGCTCACCCTAGTAATCTATTGCAGCCTTGCCAAAATATGCAACAAATTTGCCTATACAGTCTCCCCTCAGAAGACAGAGCAGTAAAATGGATAGTAATGCCCTGTGCTTCCCTCTCTGCTCCCCATGATAAGACAGTGAACGGGCGGCTTTGTGTCCAAGTATCTGCGTGGCTCTCTCTCCTGCAAGGAGAGGTCTCAGGAATATGGACCCATGTGGGCAAGCCCTTTGTAAGCTAGAGGAAAGGCTTCAACTCCCATCAGAGGAACCCAGGGAGGCCGCACTTCCCGCTGCCCCTCCCCGAAGATCAGTGTGGAGGACACTGCCCTGTTCACTCAGAGAACACAAGAAATGGGGAGGTATAGAGAGAAGCATCGGGAAACTTTTGTGGGTTGGACAGAATGAGCTAGGTGTTGAAGATGCCCAGAACCTGAGTAGGTAGGGGTCCTACAGGCAGTCAGCACCTTGAGGAAAGGCAGGAAGGCAGAAGCTAGTGTAGCTGCAAGGCTTCGAGCAGGCACCATGGGTGCTGCAGGTGGAGCAGGGAAGGGTCCCCACGGGAACAGGTAGGCTGCCTTCAGGGTTCACACTAGGGGAGGCGTGGGTAGCGGAATGCTCCTCCACCACCCCTTCCACATGAAAAGACACAGGACAGAAAGCAATCCAGACATGACTCAGCCTGGAAGAGTCCAGATGAAATGAGATTACTTGTGACTTGACACACATTCACGTTGCTCTGTGATAACAGTGAACTTGAGCGTGGTGGGAGAGAGCCCTTCTACCAAGGTGATGAGGAAGGGAGCAGCGTTAGCCATTGACGTGGGGCACTCTGAGACAGGAATGGAGGGGGGGCCTGGGACCCGAGTCAAAGAGCCCGGGCCCTCCTCCCGGCTGATGCGTGGCGGCCCGTGGCCCCTCCGCACACCACCGCCCTGCAGGCCGCCGGGTGCCTCCCGTGGCTTCGGCCAGGCCATCGGCGCAGTGCACTGCACTGCTTGGTCTCCTCTGCCTGGATGATGGCGCCTTAGACGGGGACCACGTCGCATTGGCTTCTAGGTCCCTAGCCTCCCCCACAGAGCCTAGCACATGGTAGGTGTTCAGTAAGTGTTTGTGGGGTATGGGGGGGGGGTAGCAAAAGCAACCAATGACTGTTGGGCCACGCTAAAGTGATGGATGAAACTGTGCTTTTAATCACTTTCCTCAGCAGCCTTTATACTCAGTTTTCTACACAGGAGAGTTGTTCCTGCCTCTGAGTAGCCTGCTGCACACGTGCAGACGAGGGGGTCTGGAGCAAAACAGCCGGGGCCGAGAGCCTCTGCAGGCGTGGGAGCTCCACCAGGCCTGCCTGGCGACACACCAGGCTGCCGGCTTTCCTTTCTTTTACAAACCAGATCCCATCTGGTCTCTGGGAGCTGGTTTCCCCTTGAGAGTCACCACTCAGTTATCCCCACCTCCCAGTTCCCCTGTCCCGACCCCGAAACCTTGCCACGGGTCCTTCCCTTTTGTGCACTTATGTACTGTGTACATTCTAATCGTTTAGAGAAACAGCGGTAAATCGGCACGCACATGGGGATGGCGACGTAGGGTGTGGGCACCTTCGAGTTTCCGCTCAAACGGCCTTGATTTAGATCACCTCTCTCCCATTTTAGATGTCGCCCAAAGTGCACTGGACACTTTTATTTCTCCTACCGCAGCCCCCAGAACGGAGCTCTTCAAACCTTTACCCTCTCGTGTCGTGTTGGTTGCTTTGACAGCCACGAGGATGGTTCTCTTCCCTGAGGCAGCTTTTTAAGAATATTTTATTTTTAGAAAGAAGGGAATGGAGGGAGGAAGAAAAAGAGAGAAACACTGATGTGTGAGAGAAGCATCAATTGGTCACCTCTCTCACGCCCCCAACGGGGACCTGGCCCAGGCATATGCCCTGGCTGGGAATCGAACCAGCGATGTCCCAGTTTGCAAGGCAGTACTCAGCCCACTGAGCCACACCAGGCAGGGCTTCCCTGAGGTAGTTTTGATTGGATTCAAGACAACAGGCACTGGGTCAAGTGGACTCCACTGTATGCATGCTCTTGCTCTGTACACTACAGAAGGTCACTGAGCCCCAGTTTCCTTCTGTGGAAAATAGAGCTAATAGTAATAGTGCCACTTTCAGGGCTGTTACAAAGATCGAAGGAACAAAATCATGTTAAGCACTCAGCACAGCGCCTGGCACCGAGGAAACACATGCTCATTTTGTTCTAAAATCTCGGCCTAAAGGAGCTTAAAGAGCAATGAGCACTCTAAACAGTATTCGCAAGCCACAGGACGCCTGTCTGCTCCCTGTTCTCTAAGGCTGGACAGCTCTTCTCAGATCAGCACTTAGGACACTCTTTTTGCATCTTTTGCTATCTGTTTCTCATGGACTGTGAGAGACTCAAGGACAGGGATGTGTCTTATCTATTTCTGTATCCCAGTGACCAGCACATCATCTGTCATCAGTATTTGAGAAAAGAATAAACAACAAATGAATGAAAGAATGAATGAGCAAACTTCTCAAGGACTCCAGCCTGGTACCATTTCCACACTCATCCTCTTTCCGTTTCCTCCCAGACAGGAACACGGACACCCCAGGTACTGACATTGAAAGTGCTCACATAGTCCCCCTTGCATCCAGCAACCACTGTAAACTGCTGCACATCAGGCACTGTGCTAGGGTCTGAGATGATGAAAGGAATAAGGTACGGCCATACACTCAAGAGGTTTTGAACGTAGAGAGAGGCACAAATAGTCTCTTAATGGTTCCACTGTGGGACTGCTTAAATGAAGAAGGCGCTATGAAGCCTAAAGGAGGAAGTGATCAGGTCTGAGCTGAGGTCAGGGAATGCTCTACAGAGACAATTGGCCTGATCCTCGAAGCATTCAGGAAGAGTCGCTGTTTTAAGAATGTTGTGGAGCCCTGGCTGGTGTGGCTCAGTGGACTGAGTACCAGCCTGTGAACCAAAGGGTCACCGGTTCGATCCCCAGTCAGGGCACAAGCCTGGGTTCCGGGACAGGCCCCCAGTTGTGGAGATGCTTGGGAGGCAACCCCACATTGATGTTTCTCTCCCCCCTCTCCCTCCCTTCCTTTCTCTCTAAAAATAAATAAACAAAACCTTTTTGAAAGAAAAAAAGAATGCTGTGGAGCACAGTCATCACACAGAACTTGCTTTGAGGGAGCAGGATGTGCTTGGAGCTAAGTAGGCATTCAAACCTTGGCAAAGGCATTTGGACTTCATGCCAGCACGTCCCAGGCTTTCCAGGAGGAGGAAGTGATCGCAGCGGAAACTGAGTGTGCACTCCTGGGATCTGGGAACGCAGTCTAAAGCAGCCCTCCATGCTTGGGATTTCCTTGAGGTGTCCTGCTTTGCCCTGAAGATACTTGTGAATTATGCACCTGACAACATAATAGAGGCATGTTAATTTAATGTAAAAACGTTTTTCCTACTTAAACTTGAAGTAAAATCAGCACTCCAGGAAGATGCCCACGACCACCCGAGCTCTGCTCCTGCCTTGGCACAGTGACACCCCCTGGACTGGGCAGGAGGCTGCCGGCGGCGGCATGCACAGGTTCTGGGTGAGAGGTGGCAGGATGGGAGCAGGTGCTGTGGGTAGAGCTCTGAGCTCTCGTGGCATTCACGGTCCTAGGGGACAGTCATCTCCGGAGAGGAACACAGCCAAATGGGCTTTTCGTTCCCAAAGAAGCTCTTACAATCCACAGCAGAGCAAACGTTCTTAGAGCACAAAATGTTCGATTTGCTTGCAAAGTGTTTTAGAATACAAAAGGAAAAGCTGAAGGAAGCTTGGCATAAAGTTGACAATAGAAGTGAAGGAGCGAAAGTAAAATTGAAGAGCCAGGCCACCTTATCTGCAAACTAGGCACTAAATGGATGCACTGCTCAAGACAGGAAACTGGAGCAGGAAAGGATATGTTTGAATATGGCAAGTCCCTGAGGAGGAGCCTTGTGTCCTGCTGGGACTGGAG